TTATTTACATATTTTGTTAATAATAAATTTGTTTATGTTTTAGTAGAGGCTAAAGCCAAATTATTCTTCCATTTTAGGGCGCGTTTGGTTGAGAGAAAGTTTTATTCCAATTTTCTCTCTTATTTGGATTTTTTAGGGCTATTTATATAAAGATCCTTTTAATATATGTTTTTTAGGAGATATGTTAAAAGTATTTTTAATATAAATACACATAAAAAATATATAAAAGTTGAAATGAATTTTAGTATCAATGTCAAGTAGGTGAATTGAATTAGATAATTAATAAATTAAAAGTTGATTTTTATTTTTAATAGAAATTTATAATAAAAATATATTTTTAATACCTTTAATTTGTACCATAAACACAAAGGTTAAACAAATTCTTTATATATTTTCACACTTCAAAATGACAACAAACGGAATTGATATTTTTAATTGTTATTTTTTTAATACAATTCTCAATAAATAATCTTTTCTTTTCACATTTTTAATACAAAGAAATTTTTCTCTAACTTTTCTAATATCTGATCCACTTGACATCTCTTTATCAACTTTTCAATATTAATTTCTTATCGAATATAAAAAAAAATTAATAGTCTCAACAAAACTTCAATGAAATTTTATTATAAAATTTATGAATTTTTTATACAATATTTTTTCAATAAAGTAAATTTTTAACCAAATAGTCAATGTCTCATTTTCTGGCCTCCCAACTGGGTAAATCGAAAAGGGTAAATCGAAAATGTTAAATCAACAGTTTGTTATAGGTAAGGACAATACAAATTTATATCTTGAAAAATGAAAAATACTTCTTTCTTAGGCTGGACGTGGAGTTTTAATAAAACCTCTAGGCTCTAGCCCTTTGAAATTCCAAAATATGCCATGCATGTGCTTTAAGTTTTCAATGGTGGAGGCTTATTCATATTAATCACTTCTTTGTCGGATATAGCCTCTTCTTTCTTTGGCAAGTGCCTTGTCAGTGGTGACTTTTGGTGTTGGGCTTTATAAGGAGATGAATCTAAGGTGTATCCGGTGAACTAGCCAGCTAGGTGAGGCTTCTCTATTAGTAAAAGTTAGGAGTTAGAGACGTTGAAACATGCAATTTAACATTCTTACTTAAAAAATTTTGAAATAAAAATTTATTATCACACTCAAATAACTAGAAGTTGTACTAAGACTACATCTATTATACCACAAAATGAAAAAAATCATCATTGTTTGAGGATTGATATATTTATGCACTAAGAGTGACATTAAACCCCACTTATAGTGGAATAAGGGCATACCATAAAGCAACACAAATTTTCACTAGCAAGTAAATGAAATCACAACAAAAAGTAACACAAACCTCCACAAACGGATGAAAGAGCATGTACTAAAATTTCCCTTTTATTAACGACCTTAGTGAGATTTTTGGGGTCGGATTATGCTCAAGAGGATATATATTAAAAATATAAGAAACTGTCTATACAAACATTATGACCTCATGAACATACAAAAATATGCATTGCTGGAGATAATCATATTTTATTAGCTGCCAAAAGCTTGATACGTCACTGTAGCATGCCCCATATTTCCTTTCCTCAACCGAGTATTTTCATCCAAATGAGTCATACCATAAAATATATATATATTGCCTTCCATATTATATAATATTGTTGGTCATAGTATATATATTTAATTTAATTATATACGGCCGAAAAAGATATATTTAATTATGCAAAGACAAAGCAATTAATTATAAATCTATGAGCTCAACAAGAATTCTAAAGTTTGTGGATTTGAGTCTCATTGTACATATGTCTATGTTTAATTCTTCTTGAATTTATTATAATTTATTTTTATAATTTGTAGTGTAATTTCAAATATTTAATTATGTTATATAATGTGCTAACGAATGTCATCACTAACATGTACTTTACGAAAAAAATTATACATCTATGAGGACAAGCTAAATCAATATGAAGCAAAGGTGAGCCCAAGTGATGAACCGTGCACGAAATCAACAAGGGACAAAAGAATGAAATGCTATGTTGGAGAATCTAACTACAAAGCTTTTATGGGCGGTGTTGACGGTGATCGCCAGCTTAAGGCGGTTAGGCCCCTTTCGCTTTCAGTATTCCACATCAAGGTTCATGGATATAAATACAGCACAAAAGCTTGTATACCAAAATAAAAATATAGAACAAACTTTGAAAGTTAAAGCACCTGTTTCTGTCGCTTGCTAAAAGGTGCACCTTCACGGCCTAGGGTTTAATTCCCCCTTTTAATTCTCCCTTTTAAATAATTAATTGAACTTGTTCAAGAAAAAAAAAGAAAAAAAGAAAAAAACCTTGAAAACAATGAGAACTGAATTACTTCTTATTGGATGATTTAGAGGGTTTTTGGATCAATTTATGCGCACAAAACAAAACTTTTAGAATTTGTTTGGTTGGCAGAAATGATTACTTATTGGTCAAATATAAAAATAAATTAAAATTGAAAAATTTTTATTTGAAAATAGGAATGATAAGCCTTAATATATATATATACCTAATTTTGCTTTTATATTAGTAAATAACAAAGAATACTTATTTCTTAAAGAAATAAAAAAATACATATTTAATTTTTATCTTTCATTCTTTGAATTTAGTAAAAAAATTAAGACATTGATACATTTTTTTTTATTTAATGCACTCTACAACATATTGATTAAGACATATTGATTAAAAAGTTATCATTTTTAAATTTAAATTAAAGATAAAAAAACTTAAAACTATAAATTTTAATAACTAAAATAATATATATTAATAAATATATTGAATCAAAAGATATACCGATCATTTTAAAAAAATTATTAATATTAAAATTTAGTTATTTTTAGCTTTCCAAAAAAATTTTCTTAAATTTATTTTATTTTTATAGCCGCCTACCAAATATGGCCTTAGATCTCAAGCATAAAAATCATATTAGCTAGCATTTATTCACTGGGCGTGGTTGCCGATCACTAATTATTTTGTTAATGCAACTCAATTCTATTTTAGTTTGATTATTAAAAATAATTATTATTTATTATTTATTATTTAATTAATTAAAATTAATTTATAAATTAATATTTTTAAAAGTCATAACTATTTAAAACAATCACAATTAAATAAAATATCATTAAATTAAATAATTTTTAAATAACCTTAATTAAACAGTGTCACTGTAACAACACCTTTTCCATTTTTACCCACTTTTTCAGTGGCAAAAAGTCACTTTGCCTTCTGTCGATATTCACCTAAATTGAAAGGTTCAAATCTCACTCATTTGAAAAAAAATGTTTTTAATCTAAAGACTATTCTTGTGGGTTAAGAGAGGCCAGGGTTAAGCAATCCAATTTGGCATCCAATATTACGTTGAGCACTAAGAAGAGTAGGCACCAAGCAGAGTTGTGTGGATTCCACCACCAAACAAAAACTCTTTATCTCTATTGGTCCAAAGCATGGACATGTTTTTTTTCGCTAAATTAATTATTAAGTCCACAAATTTGCAAGATTGTGACCTTTGAGACACCGAACGAAAGAAAGTTGGGCATATAAAATTGTGATGTTCAATTTTAATCAACATAAATATCTTCTTTTGTTGGTCAAATTTTTTTTGAAGAATTTCTTGAAGATAATTTTTTAAAATTTATTGGCTAATCTGAGAGATAGGACATGAAATTTCACAAAATCTTAAATTGAGAATGCAAATTTTAACACCAGAGAAATAAGATCACAATATCTGCCTTAGTTATAAATAAGTATTTTGAAGGAAAATTACCATGTGAGGCCACGTAAACTACAATCAAAACTTTTTGTCAATAACTCATAAATCACCAATTAAAACTACTCTAATGAAAGGGAAATTCTTCTATACAATGTGAACACCGTGTTGACAATATCTTTGTCCACTAATATAACAATATAATAGTATTTGTGCCTCTTTTTTTTTAATAATCTATAATTTAAGAGAGAGAATATTTTTTTAAAATGATGAAAATTGAAACCCCAATTAATAAATCCAAACACTTTAAAATTTGAGAGCAAATCACTATACTTAATACCTGATTTGTGACATTTAATTTTTTTTAATCACAAGTATACTAACATATTACTATATTAGTGGACAGCGGAAAAAAATTTCTCCTCGTCGAAAAGCAGCCAAATTTTCGTGATATGACATGGTATTATTTTTCATTCACATTATCTTTACTTTTTTTTTTTTACAATTTTACAAGAAATTAAATTCAAATTATTGCCCAAAAAAAATATACACTTAAACATAATTTAATGCTACTGGATGAAGGTTCAAATGCCACATTATCTTTACTTTCAACTAATAAAAAAAATGAAATTGGTATTTAATTGTCTAAATTATATATTTAAAATATAATTTATTTTATAAATTATTAAAATATTTTTCATAAAATAATAAAAAAATAAAAAATAATAATACTATTTAAAATATTTTAATAAATTTATATAATAAATTATATTTTTAATATATAATTCGATTTATAAAATATTTCTTCGTACAAAAATCATGTCTGCATTATCATAACATGATAATAATCCGTATGATTGGGGCAGAGGATTACAACCAAGGCTACTATTGGCAATTTGTTCAGGTATGTATCAGAAGGGCAAAATAGGAATAATAAATAGCCACCAAAAACCAAATCCAGCACGATATATTGAATCAACAAAATCTAATCTCTTTCACTAACAACGATATGCATTGAATCCCAAAATATCGCCTAATTCGGACAGCAGTTAAGAGGCCCTCCGCGGGCAGACAGCATCAGCACCAATATAATAGACTCGTGTCGTGCCTACTTCTCAAGCTGTGTCTACCTCTCAACCTCTGTCTCTTTCTTCTCGCTACCTTCAAGACTGCAACGCCACCCAACAACCTCCATTAAAACTGCATCGGTTTTTTAAAATTTCAAGAAATCTCACTCCATGAATTCAACTCATTCTCCCTGATGCTCCAAAATCGCTTTGGTTCTTCTTCTTCTTCCTAGCCACATAATCACAGGTAAATTGCAAAATCCTAGCTTTCTTCAGAAATTTAAAAAAAAAAAAAAAAATCTTCTGGTATTTCCTTCTTCCAAGCTGATTTTAATCTGATTTTTTTGGAGTATATTTCAAATTATTATTTTTATTATTTTTTCATTTTGATACCTTAGTTTTTTTCCATTACCATTTTGATTTGTAGCCGATTATTTTATTTTATTTTATTGTTTGGCCACCAAAAAGATTTTTTTTTTTAATTTATGTCTTTTTTACATAAATAAATTGCTTAATTTCAATTCGAAGGTTAATCTTTGAAAAATGATTATACTTTTTTTTCTTTTCGGGGAAACCGGTAATTGAAAAATGATTATACTTAACTCTTTTGTTCCTATGAAATATGTTATTGTCTGTGGTGCAACTATTTATCTTTTTTTTTTTTTCTTAGATGAGGATTTTTCATTTTTCAATTAATTTTTTTAGTACTGAAAATTTTACGGGGTTATTCATTTTGATAGATTTATTTCGTTATTATCTATATTATTATTATTTTCAGGTTTTTTAGCTGTGCAGTTTAAGCTTATGTTTATTGTAGAATATCGAGCAGTCCTCAAATTTTTTGGAAGAGGATTTACTACTTAATTCAAATAGGTATGTTACTTTAGTTGCAGCAAAAGAAATGAAAATTAACTAGAAAAAGTTGAAATTTTCTCCTTACGCTTTATTTTTGTCCTTACATATTTGCTTAGCAACAAACTCACTAGAAAGGAAGAAAATTTTCCATTCACGTTTTGGTTCCGTTTTTGCATATTTTCTCGGTAACCAAACGGGGGTGCTGTAGGGGGTATTGCTTAGCATGGTTAAAAGACAAAACTTTTAAAACCCTTTTTTAACTTTTTTAAAAAGGCTAGAACTTGCCTAAAAAAAAGATGAAAATTTTACTTGTATATTTAGTCAAAAGTCGGTTTTCGTACATTTGATATAGGAAGTTGAAATCAGCTTTACCATGTCATGTTTAGTTGTGTCTGTTTGCTTCAACTGCAGGTATTCAGCAAAACGTTTTGATTCAAATACTGAAACCTAAAGAGTGGTGGCTTCAGCAGATCTGGGTTCTTCTTTGTCATCGTCACCACCTACGTTATACTGTGCATAATTTATTACACATATGGAGGAAGCAAATCCAGCAACTTTTTTAACTATGCTGGAAGAGCCTGCCTCTTCTGTATCATCCAACTCTAATAGTATTCCCAAACCACCTCCTCTTCCAAGTAAAAGCTACATAAGGAGTGAACATCCCAATAGGCCTCCTGGGTGTAGCTTTGTCGTCAAGGAAACAAAGAATGTATGGGATAAGCTTTTCAAAGAAGGATATGGTGCAGATGTATATATTTTTACAGAAGATAAATCATATATCTTGGCTCATTCCTATGTTTTGGTGAGTTACTTGTGCTTTTACCTCTATTAGTGAAAGAAGAGAACAGCTCCTATCATGGACAACTGTTTTATTAATGTCAGGTAACTTGGTTCATTCCTGTGTTTTGATGAGTTAGTTGTCCCTCTTTTTTTATAGGGTGCTGCATCACCAGTCCTGGGTGATGTTATCCAACAATCAAAAGTTAAGTGTGGCATGAGATACATCAGGATTCCTGGGGTACCTTATGGAGCTGTCAATGCATTTGTTCGTTTTCTTTACTCATCCTGGTGAGTTTAAACATCCTTTACTGTGTTAGTTGGACTTAATTCTTTAATAGTAGTTTGTTCCTTACAAGAAATTATTTAATGATACTTTTATTCTGTTTCTTCAACAACTATTTATGTGGTAATCAAACCATGAGAATATATTAGCACTCTAAAGTCATGTTCTTGAATTACACATTTTTGTAATATGAAAACTGAAACAGCTTTAGTTTCAGGCTGTTGTCATATAACACCTTAAATTTTGCTTTTAATTATCAGCTGAAGAAGGAATGATAAGTTAGTCCGTCATCCATCTGATCCATCATTCAAACGGTGCCATTACCAAGACTTAATTGTGCCAACCATTCAAACCAAGTTGAGATAAGACCATACATAATTTTAAGTGAGACACAGATAGAGTTCATATTGAATATGGTTCAAAAGAAGATGCATGTGACTTGTGCACTGGGTATATTGTAAAAGAATATTTACATAGCTTAGCTTAAGGAAGCAAACTAGAATAGTGAATGTGACTATTAAAGAGGAACTTTTTATGCCCTTCAATGGTCACTGGTGTGTTAAATTATTGACGTTTAAACTGAAATTTTGGTACTAAGTTGGCTGAACTTCCATTGCAGTTACCTTCTCTGTGTCTCTACTCTCTAAAGTGCTTCTGCTGAGTCTTATTTGATATGAAAATGCAGCTACGATGACAAAAAGATGAAAGAGTTTATTCTCCATCTGCTGGTTTTGTCACATTGCTACTCAGTTCCTTCACTGAAAAGAGTGTGTATACACCTGCTGGAGCAGGGCTGGCTGACCAGTGAAAATGTTATAGATGTCCTTCAGTTGGCAAGGAGCTGCGATGCACCCAGACTTTCATTTGTTTGTGTTCATATGGTTGTGAAGGACTTCAAAACTATATCTTCCACTGAAGGCTGGAAAGTAATGAAACGTGCCAATCCTGCCCTTGAACAGGAGCTTGTAGAGGCTTTAGTTGAAGCAGATTCAGTAAGTCAAATTCTGTTCTTTGTTTTAAGCTATTTATTTTTGCTCATCAATTTATTATATTTTTAGATCTCTTAGGCGAAGCATGTTAGTATTATAGTTTATATCTGATTTTTAGTATTACAATGTTTGTACTTTGAGAAGAAGCATAGATTTTGGACACCACAGTCCTTGGCCTGCTCAATTTGATACTGGTAATCCAGCTTCTGGTGTTGATCCTTTTTTATTTTTGGCCCTTTTATTCAAAGAGAAAACAAGAAAAGCTTAGGAAAATGGAAGAGAAAAAGGTTTACTTGGAACTGTATGAAGCAATGGAAGCCCTCCTCCACATTTGCAAGGAAGGGTGTCGGACAATTGGACCTCGTGACAAGATGCTGAAAGGAAGCCAGGTTGCCTGCAATTTTCCAGCTTGTAAAGGGCTCGAATCTTTAGTGCGTCATTTCTCTAATTGTAAAACTCGAGTCCCTGGTGGATGTGTTCACTGCAAGCGTATGTGGCAGCTTCTTGAACTGCATTCTCGAATGTGCAGTGAGCCTGATTCTTGCAAGGTTCCTCTTTGCAGGTAAGCATGAACATTAAACCATTGCAGAGAAGATATCATTAAGTGTTAAGAGTAATTAGTTACAGATGTCTTTTGCAAGCAAAATGGTTGTAAGTTCTTCTTTGAAAAGAGTATCATGACTTGATGACTTCTCTTGCACTTTTGCTAGGCATTTTAAGGAGAAAATGCGGCAGCAATGCAAGAAAGATGAGACCAAGTGGAAGCTTTTGGTGAGCAAAGTTGTTGCAGCAAAGATTGCTCTGGGACCATTCTCAGCTAGTCGGTCAAGTTTCATTATGACCTGTTGAGCAACTTTAACTTGTATTTTGATTTCAAAGAAATCATGGTGTCTTCTGAAAATGTACTCCCGAAACAAAAAAACATAATAAGGGAAAACTGATCGGTTCTCAGTCAGAAAAACTTCATTTTTGTAATTTCATGTCTTATATGTTTCATTTCCTGAAGAAGTGTTTGATTTTTAATACCATATGGTACTCTAACAAAATGCATAAAAGACACCAACGAGGGGTTGGATCAAGTGATAAGCGGTTTGTTCTAGCTTAAGCAAAGTCTCGAGTTCGAGTGCTTGTGTACGCAGCAGCTCCTGTTGGGAGACTCACCCACCATTTCTAGGTGCGCGACGCGGGTCGGGTCCGGATTAGTCGCGGTGAAGCTTCGGATACGGGGTGGGAAACCAAAAAAAAAAATGCATAAAAGACACTGCTAGGGTTCGTTTTTTCTGATTGTGGATGTTGATGAACAAATTTGCTGGCAGATCGGCTTAAACGTCTCGAGGAATAATTCCTAGTGGTGAATTAGTCTTACTGTCTTGTGATCTGGTCAAGTTAGTTATATTCTCTTTTAATCTTTATCTTTTATTTATTTTTAAGTGTAATATGGAAAAAAAAAAAAAAGATAAATTTTTGAATGAGGAAAATTGGGATAGAGAGACTGCTATTGCAACTGTTAAAACTCTAGCAATTGCTAAGAGGATGGTGCATCCAGACTAACATAGCCAAAGTTGTGAATACAAATTGTTTTTAAATCTTTAATCAGAGAAAAAGTGAAACAAATGTCTTTTTTTTTTTTTATTTAATAATAAATTATACAAACAAAAAAAAAGAAGTCTATTTTAATCCTTGACAGAAAGTAAAACATCCCAATATTGAAATACGAGAATTCCAAATTTTTGAGGAGTGAACCTGACAAAAGCCATGCCCTTCAATTTTTCAGATGGAAGAAGGCAGGACTCTTGAATTTTTAGAAGTTGGGACTAACAAACATTTATACTCAAAACCGTTGGGACTGTCTGTCGGCTACCAAGAGGAAGAAACTCACGGGGTGTTGCAAACTAATTAATGATACGATAAGACGTGGTAATTTGATAAAGAAACCAAGTAGCAGCAACAATCTTTCTGCAAGCATTTGGCATTTCATTACATAGTTCTAAATGAGAATAGGATAACTGTTTTGCCAAGCATGATATGATCCAGCATCTACTCTATGTCAATTCCAAAATCCTGGGGAACGTATACAGGAATTGACCAAAACTGGACAACTTTAATTCTTGATGGCATTCAATTACTAAGCCCCGTCTGCTAATGTCCTCTTTGATGTACTGATGTAGAGAACTGCATTAAAGTACCAATATTTACCATCATTGCTGATGAATGAATAAAGAGTGAAATAAGAAAAAAGGTTTATCCTTCAATGGTTACCATTATTCCCACGAATAAAAGCATCGCCATACTTATTTTTCAGCTGTCCGTTTACGTATTCTTCTGTTTGCTCCATGGCTATATTCATGTAACCATCTAAACAAGCTAGAATACCTGCACCCGAGGAAAAGAGATTAAACATGCTTAAAGACAACCTCATATTGTATTGTAAGATGAGGATTGAGGACCAAAAGTTCAAAAGATTAAACATACTTAAAAGATAACCTCATATTGTATTCATATAGTATTGTAGAGGAATGGAGGACGAGGGGCAAAGTTAAATATGCAGGGTCACTGATCCATGGAGTAAATGACATGGATAAACTGTTGCTAGTATTCACTATAAAATAGGCTTCCTTTCCTAATAGATTTCATAGAATTGAAATAAACTGGGGACAAAGGGGACAAACCACTCAAATTGGATCTTACCACATGATGCATATTGATTTCTAAGTCAAAAT